TGAATTCATCAGTTAGAGATAACCGAAACCGAAACTGTAAAATAGATGCCGCTTAGAATGTAAGTGAAACCGCTGAGTGGAAAACCTTGAGAACCAGCTTCCGAAATTCCCCGATTCAACTGGTGTCTAGTAAACCGTCAGTTCGGGCAGTGATGTAGATGTGACTAAAGCTTGGTGTTTACGTGAATTGGATGAGGATTGTACGATGGCACTACTTTTTGTTCCCATGCCTGTCAAAGAAATGTTGCAGAGGTTTATCCAATAACCAATTACCGCCTCTTGAATCTTGTAGTCAAAGTGTAGGTTTTCAAAAAGTGGTTGCGCTTTCAAAATTCACGTCACATTTAGGATATTAAACACTAAACGCCGGTTGTCGCGAAGACGCCTCAAACCGTTTTTTTCATAAGTGCAAACTACAATGCACATATTTCCGTCCTGCGTTGGTTTTCGCAGTTTCTGGAAGCAAGTCTGATTCTAGCAGGTTACCGCAATTTGCCGTCTGTTTGAAGTTACAACCATTTAAAGTAGTGCGTGTGAACATGGATTTGACGTGCAATTTTGCTTATAAGTGGTTAACCCCTTAACGCCAGATCTTGTGAAAACGCCTCGAACCGTTTCGTTCGCAAATGCAACCTACAATGCACATCTCGTACTGCGTTGGTTTTGGCATTTTCATGAAACAAATCTGATTCCTTCAGTATAATAGGTCACCGCAACGTTTGAAGAAAATACAATCCTTGTGGATAATGTAGAACAGCTGCCGAATCGTTTGACAACAGGGCAGTTCTTGTTGCCAGCACTTTGCCAATGCTCAGTCAGTTTGCAGTGTTCAAAGATAGGACAGAATATTGAAAGTGGATTTATCTGTGAAGTGTCCAGGTATTATCACTCTGTATAACCAGCTCATGGGCAGAGTTGATGCTCTGGACGCATTGAATGTTTTGTATCGTATTTATATCAGATCCAGAAAATACTACCACATGTCGTATTCCATTTGGTTGACATGGTATTAATCAACAGCTGGTTACTCTAGAGACGTGATTGCGACTCCCTGGCTGTATCTCTAAAAAAATGGAAGTATTTGCTTGCTTTCGGATTAGCAATCGCAGAAGCACTGCTCGTATAAACCAAAGATATATCAACGAAGCACCCCCAATTCAAACGGAGTTAAAAAGGAGGAAATGTCAAGGTCCAGCTTAAACTATTCGATCACTGGAAGTCCGGTCAGATTCTGTGGGTAAGTGACCAGTGGTTGATAGTTCACGGCAGTGGAGCACAGCTGCAAACTGTAAGAGCCAGAGAGTAAACAAGTGCCCACTTGTGCCTCAGCAAGACGAAGAAATGCTTTAGAGAATTTCACGCGTAACTCTGTCTCTCCTTACTTGACTACGTACGATTGTTACGAAATAGTGTTTGCAACTTGTATTGTGGACAGAGGGAATTGACTAAATGTTGTTTCATTAAACTGTTTACATATCGGTGACTGGTAAATTTGTTGAGTCACCATTTTGCTTATTTGTGCATGAGGAGTTTTCACATTATGCCCAAATTTATGTCCATGGTATATTTTGTAACCAAAATAACTGTCTCAACCTTTTTTGGCATCTGTAAGTTACTGAAATCTCAGATAATTTGCTCTAACTATGGCAAAAATTAGATTTGGCTGAGAGGGCTATGCAGGAAGGGCCGTCAGTAATGCGATAACTTGAACTCTCAAGTAAAGTGTATAGAACTAGTGCGGCGACGATGTAGAGAACGCTTTCCACGTCTACCGTACTGTTGGTCTAGGTTCCTATGTATACTCGGAAGCAGCTTAGTTACGATGCACGGACAATTTATCATTTATTCTAATCCTTGGGACTTGGATATTGGGCCTTCGTGGTCACGTTGGTAGTTGAGTAGACGTGCAGGCATGAAACACTCGACGCATCCGAATAATTTAGTCCGGGAACAATTTCAAAGGTGCAGCTGAAGAATGGAAGACAGAGCTGCGGAGTGGCTGGGTGGTATATGGTCTCTTTCAAAGCACGCTTATTATGCACGATTTCGTTAATGGGCACTTTTGAAACAATATGGCTGCACACCCAATTAACGGGATTTGAAGTGTGCCATTTTAAACCTTGCTTCTTATTACACAGAAGGTATGAAACTCTAAATTAATGCAATCCCGCGTTGATAGGTTGATGTTATGGAATTTGGTAGTTCACCCGGACCAATAATAGCTGAAATTTTTATGGGACTTCCGGAAAATGCTGGGTTACGCTATCATATGCAAATGCGTAATCTTCTGTTCTGCATATGGACGCCAGGCTCGTCACCGTTGATACCAATCAGAAGGTGAAACAATTACCAGATGTATTAAGAAAGTGTTTCCATGCAAACACATTTTGCAGGTGGAAATGTATCCGATAGCATATTTCGTTTCTCGATGCCAACATAGAGAGGAATCCAGATGGAATTGTTGTTCGATATTTCTACTATGGGAACATGCGGATGGGTGACAGGAAAGCTTTAGAAAACCTGCAAAGATCATTCACTAAGCGCTTGTTCAGTAAATCAACCACATTGAGTTATCAGGAGTGCTGCCAGCAGCTTAAGGTCGAGCCGCTTTGGTTGCGACGAGTGAAACATAACCTGATGCTGATACATAATCTCCTAAACTAAAAGACATACGCAAATCCGTGTACACTTAAAATTCAACATAACTTCACTCGGAATATACGCAACAAGACCTGCACATTATGTGTGCCGAGAACCAGGACAGCCATCCGATCCAACTTCTTAATCCTCAGATACGCTGTCGTGTGGAATAGTCTCCCAGCCACAATCAGGTCTTGCAAAAATGCAAGAGCATTCCACATTCACTTTAGCAAATTCCTTGACCAGAACTCCATAATGACTATGTTTCCATTGGGTAAATCACCACACCAGTTCTTTCAGAATGGACCAAGGAATATGTAATCACTGATTAAAGATGGTACAAAGAACTCATCAACAACAAAAGTTACGTGATTCCAAATTATTTTGTTATCATACACCCATATTACATATTTCATTCATGCATGAGCATGATAATTATTGTACCCATGAGCTGTCCACAATCCAGGGACAGCTTCTCGTACAATGGGGAAATATACGTATTACAGATGGGATTGTGGTTCGATATTTTTACCGGAACGTAGAAAGATAGGATAACGCACAGACCTTAAGTTTTTGTCTGCACCAATTTTCATGGAATTTGCCCTCCCGAAGAAAGCAAAAATGGGGTGGAAAACACCATATCAGCAATAAACGCGAAGCTGAATGTCGAAAGATTCATAGCCGGGGACGCGGTCTTAAAGCTAGGGACAAACTACTGACCGCCGTCCTAAAGAAAATGGTATAGTCACATAGCTACGTAATTGGAATCAAATTGCCAGGAGATTTCGATATCGCAACTTTTAGCCGAAGAAGAACTGCTAATGTGTAAGCGAGCTAGTGTTAATTTACTAAGTCAGGTGTTTGTCATCTATAACCGACACGAATGAACTAGACTTTCAAGTCATCGCTTCAGGTAACAATTGCTTTCACTCTACATTTGACGGAAAGTTCGTTAGTCGAACTGAGTGAAACTTGTGTGTGTCAGGACCCAAACGAATCCATAATAGTATCCCGATCTTTATTTGGATGCGGAATGAGTCAGTTGCGGTAATTAAGTTGGAACGTAATACGTGATAACGGCCCCTCTGATCCACATGAGCCATACTGAGGAGTGCCGTTGGGTGTCTTGAATGCTGCCCAACCAGGTTTGTCTATGCTCATGAGTCAACTGAATTCTCATCCCGCTGAAACTTAAAACCATAATGAAATTCAGTTCTGTAAAACTATCTCATCTTATGAGTACTTCCGTATCCCTGTTGCAATGCGGCTGTCTTTGAGTCAAAAGCAATGTTCGAGGATACTGATCATTCGACTGCCTAACTCAGAGTTCCTTGGTATTATCCCATCTTACAAACAACAATTTTTATAGTGGGTCAGTAGTCATTCATACAACCTTGACCGTCATAGCTGTGAATGTATACAGCATTATGGAAATTAAAGTCTACGGCTATCCTTAGGTTAGCACAATAAAGAATCCTAGCGTAGCTAGGAATCGATACCGTGAATACAGGTAAAACTTGAGTTGGCATCGTCATCCACCCTGAAGCTAAATCCTCACTGGCTGATCGGATTCACATTGACAGCTGTCCGTCTTCCACTAGTGTTACCAAATCAACTGAGGATAGGGCACGGATCAGCGCTCGATGTTACCACCCACCTATGCTTCGACCGACTGCAGTCCTTGTGCCGCGAAGACGTCTCCTACTATGACCTTGACATGTAACTGGTTGTTATACTTATGACTGTAGATGATCAGCGTGTTTCGGTAGTCCTATAAGCTGCACACAATCTCATCTAGGCTACATGTTCTCTCCTTATTTCGACTGCAGAGACACTGGGGGCGCTCGTTGCAAAGTTGCTCTGAACGTCACCTCTTTCTAAACCACATCTCTCTAAGCCAAAGCGGTTTATTAGCAAGGGACGCAAATGAATCACATCTCCATAGGCATCAGGTAGCGTTGTTAATGTAGACAATATATGAGTGCCGTAAATAAGGATTCCTTGAATCTTTATCTACTCTGTCCTGTGCTTATAACCATCAAATCAATGCTATAAACAGTCGTTCCGTTCTTCGGTCATCCATGTGAACTGGATGCACAGTGCACTTCGCCTGTTCATGACATCCTGCTTGCATTTGTACCATCATTACGCACCAATCATAACTGTCTGTTGACCCCCTACTTCCGCACAAACTGGTGCTATGTTTTCGCCCCATCATCTGCACCAATGCATTTGTTACCCTGTGTTTGAATGCTTTAAACATTATGACCTCATTGCACCTTAGCGCTCGCTCAGCCCCCGTTCTATTCGCGTATTTAATGAATTAAATCATTTCACGTGTTTCGTAAGCACGTCGTACATTGTGGTGACGTCACTTTACACCGACTTGGGTGCAAAGTAGTCATTCGAATGGCTGACAGTTCTCAGACCAACAGTCGGCGAATTGCAAGTGATGTGGGCAATAAAACAATCTAACATATAAAAATATAAACAATGAGTTGAACAAAAATACAGTCCGCAATTCTAGGAAAAACTAGTCAAAGAAAAAGACTGTTATGTCGAGTTCGTATGGCATACTAGATTGGCCACGTCCATAAAGTCTCGATGAATGCCGTACGGATGTAGATGGTAGAGAAAATAGTGGAATACATACATATCCGACGGCGAAACATAATGAAAGGAGACAGCGTAGTCACTGCAGCACTCAAAGCCCTGTGGGGAAGAACGAGAGCAAGATATAAAGAGTTTCGTAAGCGGTTATGTAAACTGGCCTGACAAAGAGCTGAATTCTAGGTAATAGCATTGATTTGTGTGCCGTGATGCGATGGATCCAGCTGCCGCGATAATGATAAATATCCTACTAATAACTCAAAATGTATGGGTAAGTGTTAAAATAGTCAGCTGCATAGTTTGGAGTCATAAGTGAGAGAGCGAATGGCATGACAGCGCAAGATATGATGAGCTGTTCAAACAATGAGAACAATGGACTTATACGGGTAAGAAAGCGAAAACTTGACAGGTCGCGAAGGATGGTCAAGGTAAAAGTTCAAAATATAGAAGAATCGTCAGTAAAATTAGGTTCAAACCAGTGGACTCACTGCAGTATACGAAGTATATACTATAAATCCAATCTAATCCATAAGGAATGATGATAAATGAGACGTTGGTGAAAAATCGCATCGCATTCTGGTGAACACATAAGGGAGGTGAACATTTTGATATGTATTTTGTGAGTTAGCCGGACCCTTGTGTTTATCCCTGGGTAATGAGTCATGTGAGATGGTGCAGCGAAAGGAGTGCTAAGTCAACTCAAGCTTTGAACTCTGCCAGGGTGGGAGCACAGATGACAGATACCGATAGGGCATTCCGCGGTTTGCAAACGCGTACGGGACAGAAATTACGACGGCATTCTAAACGACTGTACGGCATTGCCAGCTTGAGTTGGTGGCCTATCAAATTGCTGTTGTGACTTGGCTCTAGCAAATGACGGCGCGAGTGGTTGGGATTTCTTAAAATCCGGTAAATCAAAATTAGGTCCTCCGCACAATCGCCGATACTGTTCGCTGAAAACCCCCAACACTCGAAGCCTTCGGTTATACAGCAAGTTTTATAAACCTTGGACATTTCTGGTTGCCTGGCGGTAGGGCATCTCCAAGACTGTGAGGTCTTTCTTCCAAAAATCCTCAGTGTGTGTTTGAGGCCGCACGCGGAATATGCTATTCAAGCATGGCAACCCTGGCTCAAGCACCATGTCACCGCGCTCGATACTGCACAACGTAGGGAAACAAAGAGCATCAGATGTTTGACCAGCCTCCCCTACCCACTCAGGTTGAAGACCCTCCCAATATACAGTGGACGTTATCGGCGTCCAAGCGGCGATCTCATAATGTTGTACCAGATCCTGAGAAACCCCAACCACCCAAGCCATTCACTTCTAATACTCAGTCAAAACACCTCGCTAAGAGGTCACCAGCTTAAGTTAGTCACGCAGTACAACCGCCTGGAATGTCGACGAAACTATTTCTCCCTTCGAGTGGCACAGCCTTGGAACGCTCTCCCGGAACATGTGATTAATGCACCCACCCTATCCCTTTTCAATAACGCCTTGACGATACTCTGTCACATTTACACTACGTGCTATAGCTCATGACCACCAAATGCTGGCACTAATGCACAACAGACAGTGGATAGTGCCATAACCCTACTCGAGAATGAATCACTCCAAACGCCTTGCACGAAATTTGATAAACGCTACTACTATAGAAAATACATTTCTGTATCCTGTCGACCCAAGGTAGTTGCACACGAGTAAGCGTTGTCCTTGCTCTCTTGGTCATTTTTTCTTGCCTATTATGTGATCAATAACCACTCCCCTTATTGCTTTGTGTGCGTACATACTTATTTCAAACTCCCTCTATACGACAGGGCATTTACATCTGTAATCGCCCAAACTGACGACTCCATTATCACTTGATCTTTCTTTTCTCACTCTAAACACCCTACGTGACATGTCAATCACCTGCTTTTTTACCCGTTCTAAATCCTTGTTCATTGTTCAGCCACGGCTGACAAACCTGTATTGCGTATTCCAAATGTGGCCGTACGTATGAGCCGAGAGGTTTTAGAAAAATCGAAGGGTCGAATCGTCCGAATGCACGCTTCAGGAGGCCTACATGTTGGATGCCACACCTTGACGCCGGTCCAGGCTGATTCGAACACCGAAGGTCGACCTGAACCAAAACTCCCAGATCCTTCTCGCCAGGTAACCTTTGAAGCTCCTGGTTGCCGAATTTGTAGGAGTATACCAACTTGTACCGTAGGTGCAGCACTTTACATTTGTCCACATTGATTCAAAGTAGATTTTGGATTGACCGTGCGTATATCCTATCCAAATCAGCTGTGAAGTACTGTGATACCATCTGGTGTATTTATCGCTTTCCACACCATGATGTCCTTGGCATAAAGCAGGCAGTTCGAGGTTATGAGGCGTGTGATACCGTTACTATTCGTCAAAAATAGTCGCGGTCCAAGTGCCGATTCCTGTGGTACTCCGCATTCAACTGGGATGGGATCAGACAGCCATTAACGCACTCGTACTTCCAAACGCCGGTGTCGAAGTAAACCTCTGACCCACCATAGGAGTGAATCACCGATGCCAAAGTTCTGGAGTTTGAAGAGCAAGATGTCATGGTCTAACCGGTCAAACACCATTAGAAAGTGGAGACAAATCACACCAACACCTGTGTCAGCGTCTACTGCCTCGGTCAAGCTGGATCGTGCTAGTAATAGATTTGTAGTTCACGATCCATTTCGTCGGAAGCCATGCTGTTCCGGTCTAAGACAGTTCAATCCTTCCAACTAGACCGTTGGCACAAAAGAAATGATATCTTCCATGACCTTTGAAAGTATCGGTAGTAAGGTTACGGGATGATAATTGGTTGTATCGTAAAGACTACCTCCCCTGTGAATTGCAGTAACCATCCCGTGTTTTCACGTGTCGAGCACGTACATTTCGTCAAAACAATGTTGGAAGAATCGAGACAATGGCTCAGCTTTCCTACCGACGCTAGCAACTTCGGGTGTATATTATCAACTCCAGGAGAGCTGTGCTTGCGCATAACGGCTTTTTACTACAGCTTCTGCCGTGAAGCATATGTGAGGGAGATTTGGGGGTGAGACAATCCTAGTCATGGGGTTAGTTGGCCAGTGAGCGCACTGAAATGTTGTAAAATATTGTAGGCACAGAGTATTCACCACATCCTTTACGGTCCGTGTCACTCCGTCCGTTGTTTGAAGAGGAGCAATTCCCAGTTGCAACTTATGTAGACTGTTTACATGTTGATACTGAAGGTTGTGGTTTGAAACCACACGTATCGCCAACTTCTGCTGGTACGTCATTCTATCCTCACGAACAGGCTGTGTACGGTGGTTGCGTTGTGTTGCATAGGCCATCCAGGTCTCGGTGAGAGTTCATAGCTATGCCGAGCTGTTTTGCACCACTATACACTTGCATGTCTTATTTCGCAGAAACGAGACTATATCTCCAGGGTGGAAGTTCTTGGTCGCTGATGTCTTGGCAACCAGAGTGTTACCTTGGCTGACGAAAACTCCATGTGTTAGCCGGTGCCTCGTCTGCCAGAAGGGTGCAATTGGTTGTCTCACCTCGTCGAGCTTTTTTGTAATAGCGTATATGTGTCCGTGTTGCGTCGGCACTTCCCACGGGATATTCTGCATAGCAGACGTATTCATAGAGTAAAACTGTATGATCGCTGCAGCCCAGTGGGACGTCGACGATCACTGTCTCGACCATCAGTTCTTTGTTGGTGAATTTCCGATCTAGGATAGAAAGCTTATCTATTTCTCGGAATCGGGTGGAAGTGTTGATGTGGACAAACAGCAGGTAACTGGAGACAAACTCTTGTAGATCGGCCTAAAACTATTCTCCAGAAGATGCTTTGGATTCCAGAGCGTGGATGTTGAAATCGCCAGTAATACGAATGTGGCTGTAATTCTTGTCTATCACTTGCCTTTTACGGATCCCAGAAAAAAAGTCAATTTGAGGCATGGAGGAGGGAGGGCAATAAATGACCGCCCCCAGGCAAGTGTCGTTGCCCTACAAAGGTAGACGGCCCCAGAGGTGATCCTGTGCCGTGCGGACCGGATCCTCTTTGGGCTCACACTGGAGGCCATTGCGGAAGTACAGAACCAACCCACCACTTTTGATGGGTCCATCGTGCCGAACAACGGACATGCCTGGCAGTGCGTACTCCATTTCCCTTATGTCGGGGTGTAAACATGTCTCCGTCGTAGCGATGAGGTCACAGGCTTTTGATCTTTGACGCAGCCACATTTCCGAAAGTTTACTCAGTAAGCCGTGACGGTTAGTTTAAATACAGGAAAGATTCTCAGAATTCAAAAGCGCCTGTCTAGAGGAACATATAAGAGGTGGATTTGTGCCAACTGGTGAGAGGTCGGCGCCTAATCGATTTTTGGGTGAATTACCAAATCTCGATAGGAATGCAAACTGATTTTGGTCTCACTTGTACCTGCGGTATGTAGTTCACCGGTAACTTTCTCGATAGCTACGAGTTGGTGTGTACAATTTTCTGAACCGCTGTTGTGGTCATATCGAGTCGCGGGTGGCGTCGTTTCCGCAAGCACAGCGAGTGGTTGCAGCTCCATAACTGCTGTCTTCGGTCGAAGTTCCAAAGAAAGTGTGTTGCGCAGTATCTGCAAGCTGCGGAGTAAGTTCACCTTCATCGGTTGTGACTGCACCATTAGTTTCAGTATTGTCGGGCCACTGCCTGCTTTAGTGCGGCGATATGCGTAACCGTGTGATCGACTGAAATATGACGTCACCGACATAGAGAGCTTCAAGGACATAACGCCATTCTTCCAGGTAAAGAGCGTGGGCTCCTTCATTGCTGCTTTTCGGTAGCCCGGGTACAACATGAACGAAAATGACTCTTTTGCTTTCTCATTATATTAGTCAGTTGCAGTATTTTTGTCACGTTGTCGTTCGACCCATGGAACTTACTGAAATATGCGTCCCCCACTGTCTTCATTCCGCAGGCGGTATGCCGAAAAGCACCGTCTCGACATCAGCTGTGAAGTAACCGGGTCTCTCCGTAGTGAATCGAGGTTAAATGGCTATTCATGCACATTAAATTGGTCGGTTTGGCTTGAGATCCGATTCTTAAACATATGAAATTGCATTGCTTTAAATCATCCACCTGTTTACCCCTTAAAGTGTTTGCCTTGGAGTCAGGAATGGTGATGCCTTTGAGTGTAAAAGCACGGTAGTTCCGCCCGGTTTTCCTTTGTGTGCGAGGCATATTACAGAGGGTATTGGGGACGGCTCTGTAGGTTGCACTCGGTCCCTGACCCGTCTTGCACCGGTACCGGGGGAAACTACTGAGGTCGCACTTTCATTATATCTAGCAGCAAAGGTAGCATAAGTGGATCGGTCTTTAGAGTGCTTCGGATTTCTTTTAGTCAGTCGGAAGGGTGGGGGTTACTGACGTTGCGTCAGTCGATACTTTGGATAAGAGAACGTAGGTGGTGAATCTAGACACGCTTCTATCGTTCGCGACGACGGTTTGGTTCCTGGTTTCCAAGGTTTCTAGTGCTGCGTAACCATGCGAACGCCTTGCCCTTTGCTTGGCTTCGAGGTACAATTAGGGGAGACGTATGAAATACTAGCACAGGTATTGTCGCCCCGAGTGAAGCTATTTGCGCAGCTGAACCTTATTTAGTTCCAGCGACTAGACTGTCTTACAAGTTGATGCTGGTACTCATTTTACAAGTGGAATCGCCGTACACTTAGTAAAGAACCAAGGTGATCCCGGCGTGTCATGTTTCCTTAATTCGGTCCGACAGACTGTGGCGCACTTTGAATGATATTGACTAATACAATTTGTACATGTCAAGCCTACTTTTACTACTTGAGTACATGTTTGTTTAGCAGAAGACACCTCGTCTAGCGTTATCGGTGTTGTGGCCAGGATGGCCGAATGGTCATGGCTCTGTCTTTGGGTATGTGGCGCGTCGCCAACGCCGTCGCCTAGCGTTTGGTCGCTGGTCGTTAAGTCAAGCTCAGATGACGGGGTCTCCGTGCTTTGTGTGTTAAGTCCGTGGGTCATACGGCAAAGGGCAGGGCGTCTGGTGTAGGTAATGATAGTGCTAGGCAGGTTGGTCGGTCGCATAGGCTGAACAGGGGAGCAGCGACAGTTGACGGTCGTTTCCCTGAGGTGGTTTCACAGCGAGAACGCAGTTTTCTCTGTAGCTATAACACACATTGATGGGATATGACGAATGAAAGCTTGATCGAAAGCTAAGAGACTCCTATAACGAAAAAGGTAAAAAATAATCTTAAGGGTGTTTGAAACTGCGCGAAATTCCACGAATGAATAAGGGCGAAAAGTTGCTCAAATGTGCAAATCCGGTAGAAACAGTCTTCGCCGTAAACTATTCCAGTGAAAATGCTTTCAGTAGATGGAGCTCGGCAAACCGAGACAACAAAGTGTTACAAAATGTCACGTAGAAAATGTGTGGGGCACATATAGAGCGGTCACCTCGTCACGGCCTCGATGATGTGACGTCACTTGAGGATCCGATCCAGGAAGGTAACGGACAAAAAGCTGCTTTTTAGTAAGTGTCTTCATCCTGTTCTAACGGGTCAAGAACTGACCCCTTCGGAGTTTCACACAACTAGCTACAGTATTGGTAAACAACGTGGGTCGAAGTAGTCGATTTTCAGGTATCTGCATTATACGGCCGAGTCAAGGCAGGCGAATAAAGTTATACGTACACTACAATAATGCATCGGCTGTACCGTTGCCAAACCCAACATGACAAACTTTTGTAATAATCACTCAGTGCTTCCACCATGCAGGAGCAATAGGTCACAGGCGGCGGCGGACAAACAGTTGTTTTCCGAACACCCTTAATGGGCCGCCCTCAGGATTATGAACCGATTAGCAATTCAGGCCACACAGCAAACTCGTAAACCCATTCACCTATCCGATACGCTAAAGTTCTACCGTCTCCACAAGTAGCTGAGTCATTGAGAAGTTAGACGATCGTTAGCAGTGCATGCATTGACCTCTTCGACGATTCGATATAGATGAGTAAACCGACTGATAGGTTCTGGAGGTTGTTTGCTAGTAATGAGGACTGAACATGGGCCTTTAGTCTGAAAGCAGCGATTAAGATGTGCAAAGTATGTGTCAAAGCGCACAACTGTGTGCATGACAGATGCACTTGGCCCAAAGTGAACTGCACAATTTAGACTTGACAGCCGACTTGACCGTCCGGCAGAACACTAACCTTGTTAGTCGTTCTTGAACGCTTTCGGCACAAGATTGCAGAGAAATTGAGATATGAGGCAACCGCAATGCGTTCCAACTGTTGTGGTGAACTCAGATGTAAATATTCCGTATAAGTTTACAAGGCCCCGGTTTTCATAGTGTATAGAGAAAGCTCGCAGGCACGCGAACCATAAAAAGACTGTACATGTGTAAAACAGCGGCATCAGCGGAAGCTGGATTTTTGAATGGAAAGCAGGAGAAAATTCGTAAGATACTGTCTCGGGAGGTTAGGTGTCTCACTACGAACCCATTTACCCGACTTAGAAACCAAGCTGAATTAACCGTAAAGGTCCATTTAATGTAAACAAATACTGAGAACACAAACTTGGCCATATCAAATTAATAGTGGAATGAACGAAGCGGTGCAGTTTGACGGCCGACAAAATAAGGAGACGCGAGTGAAAAAGGACGCTTGTGAGATGCGCCCGCTTGAGAGATTGCGTGTGTCAACAACGTGAGGAGGAATGATTGAGTTCTTCTTTTCCCCATAATATCGTTAACAGAATTGTAAAGGCTGTTTCTTTGCTCCATTGTAAACAGGTGTGTAGCCATCTACCTAACCCTTTGAATTCATCACTATGAAAGGCAGTGAAAAGATGGAATGAGAAACTCGTTAAAAAAACACCCGGATAGACGGACAACTACATTTCTAGTGGACCTGAGCGAACATTAGCTCAATGGGCGATCAGCAAATACGGTTACATAAAAACGCCAAGTAACAAATGAGGAAGTCGAGATAATTTGCACAGTAAGTGTGTTGGGTACTCGAATAAAAACCGACAGACCCACCGTGATCACTTTGTGATAATTGTAGCTCGCAAACCAAGAGGTCCCGTCCAGTGCCTTTTTGTCCATCATCATGGCCGGAGTGAACGGGTGAAACCTTTCGAGACCGGAAGCGTCCAGACTGTCAAGTACGGGGACCCCAACAGCCGCAGCGCATGTTCCTATAGGTAAGAATTTGGGCTTAGTGAAAGTGGCTATACGGGAGGTGCAGATTTGTCAAGTTGGGACTACCAATGACGATCCCATTTAACCCCTCAAGTCACCGAAAACAGTCTGGATCCTCGGGACCCACAGTTACACCAGGTGCTATTATTTTGAAACTTTGTTTACCACGCCAGTTGACTATTGTAAGTGTGGCTCGTAATCTGCTTCAGTGATGAACATTTTTCGAACCGCGAACTGCATAGAAATCAAACAGTTTAACTGAAAGCTTGATTCAATATCTTGGAACATATTTGGAACCGATCGGGAGGTCATGATTTCAGAACACTTGGTAGACGACCGGTTAATGTATTCATGGTAAAAATAAATACATTAACCGGCCGTCTACCAAGTTTTCTGAGATCATGAAAGCTTACTTATTGCGGAATAGATTTCCGAATGGTACTTAAAAGTTAGAAACATGGGCAATGGCAGCCAATCACGACATGAGCAGCGGACAGATGTACAAGGCTTGTGCCTACACAGAGACAGGCGTTGAATAAAACTCAAATATTCGTGGTTCAAACGATGCGTCTCGTGTATTATGTAAACTCCAATGAACAAGGTCAGTAATGACTCTGATTGACACCTGTAACTGTCCCCGAGACAATCAGCAACTCCACTATTTTCCATCAATCTGTGATGTGATCCCTTTGATGACACCCAGTGTCACTAACTTGAGAGTCTTAGAAGGAAAGCGTACAGTGAGTTAGTTGGAGAGATCAAACATAGACACATTATCATTATTACACATAAGCTGAAGATCCAGTCCCGTCGAGATGGGATCAGACACGATTCCATGTGAATGTCACATGACAGCTATCGCTAGCAATCGTATGGATCGTATGGGTCTAATCCACCAGCAAGCCGGCGACCCAACGGAATGCAGAAAATGCCTAACAAGCTCCGGACCAATGATAAATACGATCGACTTGCACAGCGACAGATGCCGAACGGTATCCGGAAATTGGAAATCAGAGCACGGAAAAGCGATGAACGAAACTTGAAACCCCTCGCGAACCTATTAACAAATGTTATCACAACCGGCTATACGCAGTGAATGACAAGTCGTCTTGTATTTAATAGATACTGATCAAGCCGATCGTACGTTCTGTATTATGGGATGCCTACGAAGTGAGCGAAACACAGTTTGAAAGTATTTGGATCTTGTTGGCGCGGTCTCCATTTGCTAGTCCAATATGGCGATCAGATCCATAGAAAACGATAACTTCTTTCTCACTTACGGAATATACTTGGAACCGATGGAGAAGTCATGAGCTCAGAGAGCTTTGTGAACAGTCGGTTACTTTATTTAATTGGCATTTTTAGTCGCCAAGTAAATAAACTAAGCGATCATCTGCAAATCTCTCTGAAATCATTCTTCCTCACTCTTTTAGGGTGGAACTGTTACAGAGATGGCTTGTAACTACTGCTAGTGCCCAAGAGGCACATGGAGCAACTTTATATCACGCACCCAGCTCCGATGGCTGCGCCACTTGTTGCGCATGCGAGTACACCGACTCCTGCGCCGTGCGTTATTTGCGCGACTGGGGTCTGGATGGAAGAACAGGATGGGAAGCCAAACGATGATTTGGTCAACAGTCATGAAGGTCGTCAATTCGAAGTTGGCGTCGCTTGACGTCTTCCAACGCCTGGGCTGGGGTTCGAAGGACGATGAACATATTTGTTTGGATGCACTAGTTGACATGACGGGTATCCGACATCAGTGAGGTTCGTGTTGTGGGTTTCTTTATCCTTCCTCATCGGGCTTATCTTCCCTCCCCAACAACAATCCCATACCCAATACATACTAGGGGTTAGCATTAGGTGATTTTTTAGGTTTTATCGTCTGGATTATTTAATCTATCATTTTGGTAATGAGGCACATTAGCTGATATGTCTCTCACCATCGGCTAACTAGTATGTTGATGATGGTGAAGCGGAGCGACTGAACGCAGTGGTGGCGTGATCGGAATAATAGTTAGCTTGCCCACACATAATTCAAGTGCATGCAAATATGGTATCTGATTAAAAATTGAGCGTAGGTCAATCGAGGTTGACATGTTAAAAGAGTCCAAGTGCAATAGTGAAACGCGAATTAGGCGGTATAAACCCAGAATCCAACACGAATTACAATCGACGCTAGTAAGAAAGATTATTGCTTTGCCACTCACTGGCAAAATTGCAATAAGTATTTGCTGACTAATATCGGCTAACATCTGAGGTGGTGAGGTAGTACCTTGTAGATCGGAGGCACAGTAAGATTACAAGGTAGGGCAATGGAAGTTATAAAATTACCCACAGTTAGGCCGATGCTATTATTGTCGAAAGTGTCAGATGTATGCAAGAAAGTAAATCCAAGTCACCGAACGGATAACATACCAAAGTTACTGTTTGGTCTTTGTTGCACACCACATACGGTATAAGATAATTTCTATTTCCAGAGACAACAGTACCGGCCTTTCACTCTTGGGAAACCTAAGAAAAAGTACGAGCGGAAGCTAACCATACGAAGGCACTCGCATTAGACCTCATCATCATCATACATGTTAGCTAGAGGTGGGGAACACCTCAGCTACTGTGCCGCAATAGACTGTGTCGCATTAGACCTACGAAGGGGTGTAGAGACACTTCTAATAGCAAAGAAAAATTGTTTACAACAAACGGAGAAAGCAGCAATTTGGATACATTTGATTGAATAATGATCAGATGCCGTTAGAAAGTGAGCAGTATGCGTCAAGTCTATCAACCATCCTTGAGTTGTCAACAACTTGAAGCAATACCGCTGGGTTTCCATTTGCAAGTTCAAGAAAATAGATGGAAAATAATAGGGATTGAAGCTCGGTTTGAGCATCTATAGTACTGTAACGCTGTTTTTCATCTGCTCTATGTAACTGCCAAACCAGCCGGGGACAAAACAGAACACCGAAGCCTGCTAGACCGAAGTGTATTAGGCACAGAACACGGTTCATTTTATAGGTCACAATCTATCATCTCCTGTTGTAAGTTCCTGAGCTGACTAAAGCCACTTGCCCTAGACAGATTTCGAAGCTGTTTGCGCCCTGTCACGTAGCACCCAGCTTCATGCTGACGGTGTGATCTCATCCGTTTCCCGAGTGACTCAGTCCTGGTACCGCCGGTAGGGTAGAAAATAGTGTCCCGATGATATGCGTCTCGAAAACGTGTCACATTCTATGCTGCGGCTTCCGATCGGAAGATTACCATACGTAGGCACTCGGATTAGACCTAATGAGGGGTGTAGAGACACTTCCAATAGCCAAAGATAAATTGTTTTTCAATAACCGGAGAAAGCAACAATTTTGGTTACTTTGGCTGAATAATGTTGGAAAGTGAGAAGTATGTGTTAAATCTATAAATCACCCCTTTGTGTCGTCAACAACTTGAAGCTTTACCGCTGGGTTTCGATTTTCCACTTCCCCAAACAGGTGTGAAGGAATGGGGATTGAAGCTCAGTTTGAGCATACCTACGAGCAATTGCCCAGTGTTACACCGTTTAGTGCGGAAGCAAGTTGATGGTTTAGAGCTAAAATGGTAGGTTTGGCTAACTAATTCTGCGTCATTGAAACTGAAAGTGCAATATTCTAACAAAGGATCATTGGGAATCTTTAATGCAACTGCGGTAAAAAAAAATATGGGCCGCTGCGAAGTTTGGGATCACCGTGCGCTGGATACGACTTTTGCTTCGGATTACTGTGTTATAGGTGTTATTTGCGTGTGAATTGTGCACCAATATTCTTCTTGGTGGATTTTCTAATCAGTGCAAGTTGGTAGATATTCTTTGGCTAATTCCGGAGATCTCATTGACTTGCCCTAGTGCCATCTGTGTCCGCGAGCTTGTACTTGCTTCAAGCTACTTGCGGTTCGTGTACGAAGGTTGTTGGACATAAGGGTCATGCGCGTCGGCTGCGAAGTTTTGTTCCATAGTTCGTGCATTGGTTTATCCGTTGACATGTTTCGAAAATCTTTCGACATCCGGCATGGGTTTTTCCAAATTATATATGATAAACGTCACGGTGCAAGACATCAGAATACACAGCGACCGCCAACAACTACGGGAAAACGTCTGTTCCAGACAGAAACAAACCGTTCACCAGGTGAAAGTACCTCTGTCACCTCGTCTTCTCTTGTCACTCCGCGATCTGCACCTCCACAAGCGTCTTCCACCCCGGCCGAGCCTCAGGTTCAATGTTTCCCACCGATTGAAGACTCAGACTTGGAACCTAGGAAATGTCGCTTCACTGATCGGTCCCTGAATTTCTCGGAAGCTGTCTGGGAACCTCTAAACACCAAGGATCCATGAACCATTGAAAAGCGCAAGGGGCCACGCAATCGAGTTCAAGCGTCCCTTGCTGATAAACAACAACAACCCAAACCGATAAGCGCTTCTAGACCTGCTCCAACGGGTTCAGCACTGATTTCGCTGAGGCATCGTAATCTCATGGGGTTCCAAGTACTAAAGGCAAAAGATGAAAACCCTCAAATAAGTTATGATCACGAAGTTGAGTTACTCCAAGGACTCATCGATAGACTCTTGGATATGGGTGAAGACAGTGTGACTATTAAACAAGTAATCCGACTTGGGCCAAATACTAACCATTCATGTCGACCTCTGAGAACCACCTTTGCAAATCACAATATGCCGCAGCTCATACTGTCTCGTCTGTCAAGGCTGAGGGGCATAAACATACACATCCGCCGAGACTTGGAACACGAAGACGCAGGTCGTTTGAAGACCGCGGTCATTGAGCGCAAACGCCGTACAGAAGAAGAGGAGACTGACTTACAAATTGTAAATTTTCGCGTGATCAAGAAAGGTGTACGAACCTGTATCAACCGATTGTTCAACCTCCAGGCACGTCCTGCGGTACCTCCCACGACCTCCGTGTGGCATTCGCCAACGTGTGAAGCCTAATGAATAAACGTGAAGAACTGTGCGGCC